AAGTTTAGCTTACACAATGTTTTCGCTTAGAAAGCCACCATATTCTTCTTCTAGAGCTTGAGGAGTATCCCAATGAAACAAAGTTGCAAGAGGAGTGATTCCTGTTGATATAATTTTAAGATGTCAGAAGATCTTAACAAACAGATTTTATGATTCGGCTATAAGTTATACAAGTGACCGATTATATATCTACCGTTGACTAGTAATTCATCAATAAGGTCATTGTAAAATCTGACTCCTTCCTTGTTCACTCCCTTGCTTAGTTTGCCATCTTGTAATTTAGAACATGAAAAATAATTTTTTTATGTGTTTCATTAGTCATAAGATATCAGTGAAAAGATTATCAATAATATATATTTTGGTTTAATTAAGTAGCTTACGAGGTAATATTCGGACCCAAGAGATGGAGAATCTAAAAGCATCCATGTTAATATCCTTCATTCTTTGAATATCCTCCTATATAATTCATTTTGAATTTTTAGATGACTACAAATCGACGCAACACATCAAAATGATGGCTAACGAAATATGTGCCCACCTTGTAACGATGATAGAAATCCACTGTCACGTCCGCGTTAGAGCAACAATTTCTTTCTGAAAAGATTTAGTATATTTCAAATAAATTTTTTTAACAGATCGTTGAAGATAGATGGATCAATCATCAAACACATATAAGAGATATGTACAAAACCTGGATACTTTCGAGCATAATTATCCCACATACTTTCTCCTCGGGAGCCTTCATTCACAGCTCCTTCATACTAAATTACATCACCAAAAAATTGGATTTCTTTTTTTTTTTTTGAATCGATCAATGCGTACCATGCACACATTCATATAGAAGTCATGGTCGTATGTGTATACTTACTTGATAAGCCGAGGAAGCAGTTCCAAAAAGGAAACCTTGGGGGAAATCGGCTCTTCCTAATGATTTATTTTTGTCATAACTCTTCTCTCCTCTGTTAGAAGTTGTGTAAAACAAATTCTTAAATTTTTATAAAAGATACAACTGGATGTTCATACAGATAACGCAGATATATACAAAAAAAATAGGAGACATAAATTGTATAGCTTCTCTCTGAGAGAATTCACTTACTGTGTCATTGTTTACCAAGAAGGTCTCTCAAGAAAAAATGAGGTTCCACTCAAAGCTTATCTGTTTAGTTTGGAGAAGCTAGACATTTAAATCTGC